TCATAAAAAAGTTTTTGATCTTGGCTGGATTTGAATCTGCGAACTCTTGCATGATGGGCGGACACACACCAGCTATACCACTCACCAGGTGGTTTTAAGTAAAATTGTGTCTTGAGTGTTTTACACATCATTTAGTTTTACCCTAACGATGATGCAATATTAATCCTAATGCAAGATTACTATTGCAACAACACATAGCCATATGTATGAAATATATATTCATACATATTCAATTTGTATTTAATCTGACAACAAAAAAATAAACACCAGACCTGGACTTGAACCAGGAACCTTCCGCATGAGAGATAGTTATAAACCAGGTGCACCACAGGAATGTATACTTCTTCATTAAGTCTTTCAACAAATTCATGCAATAATTTATTATCACTCAGACTACATTTTTCAAACAACTTATGGCACTCTCCATGAAGTGTTATGCCCAAGGACCCAACATCAGCAAATGTCATTGGTAGTCACTGGGGATTTGAACTAGCAACCATCAGCACCATAGACCTGTGCTTTTCCATCTGAGCCACTGGACCACCATCTCTAATACTGCTGCTTGCTGTCCTTTGTACAGGCTGCTTTCAACTGTATTTGTTTTACACGCCATTTATTCCCCACATGCCGTTTTAAACGCCATTTATTGCCCACATTCCGTATTAAACGCCACTTGTTGTCCACATGCCGTTTTAAACGCCACTTGTTGTCCACATGCCGTTTTAAACACTACTTGTTGTCCACATGCCGTTTTAATCGCCATTTATTGTCCACATGCCGTTTTAAACGCCACTTGTTGTCCACATGCCGTTTTAAACGCCACTTGTTGTCCACATGCCGTTTTAAACGCCACTTGTTGTCCACATGCCGTTTTAATCGCCATTTATTGTCCACATGCCGTTTTAAACGCCACTTGTTGTCCACATGCCGTTTTAAACGCCACTTGTTGTCCACATGCCGTTTTAAACGCCACTTGTTGTCCACATGCCGTTTTAAACGCCACTTGTTGTCCACATGCCGTTTTAAACGCCATTTATTCCCCACATGCCGTTTTAAACGCCATTTATTGCCCACATGCCGCTTTACACGCCATTTATTCCCCACATGCCGTTTTAAACGCCACGTTGTCCACATGCCGTTTTAAACGCCACTTGTTGTCCACATGCCGTTTTAAACGCCACTTGTTGTCCACCTGCCGTTTTACACGCCATTTATTGTCCACATGCCGTTTTAAAAACGCCACTTGTTGTCCACATGCCGTTTTAAACGCCATTTATTCCCCACATGTCGTTTTAAAACGCCATTTATTCCCCACATGTCGTTTTAAAACGCCATTTATTCCCCACATGCCGTTTTAAACGCCACTTGTTGTCCCCATGCCGTTTTAAACGCCACTTGTTGTCCACATGCCGTTTTAAACGCCATTTGTTGTGTTCATGCCACTGATCAGCTGTGGCAGGTGCCGGTGCCACAAAAGGAGCCTGCCCTTTCTCCAGAAACGGCTGGCAATATGGAAGTACCTGTTCTGAAATGGGCTGGCAGTCAATGAGTTAGAAAGACCCCGTTCCGACCGTTATTCAAACCCAGGACCTTCTTGCTGAGAGGCGAGAGTGCTATCCACTCAGCCACCGTGCCGCCCGTTCTATAGCTCGTACTGTCTGTAATGTTCAACAATACTGTTTGTACGGACTACCCGTGAACGCAACAGATACAAACGCACCCTATCGGTCTGATCATTTTGTGTCAGTGAACACATCACACTGTCCACTTCTCCATATACCTCACAGAGACAGCAGCAGCCGCGACTGCCGGTTTACACAGTCACGATACCCAACTCCTCTGCTCATGGACAAAAAACAAAGCAGAGAGTAAAGAGAAAGCGGCAATAGCAATCAGTATCACTGACATGCAGATTCGCACAGGATTAGTATTATCACAGGACGACTGTGTTTGGACAAGTACAGGAGGTAATTTGCGGCGGAATTATTACTTTACAATTTACAGACATGGCGTACTCGTCATGGGACTAAGATCTCAGACGTCCTCCGTGATTACCACAGGTCCCGTGCGAATAAGGCTTAATACTACACAACTTGTCTGTAGGTAAGAAACCTACAGACAAGTTGTTATTAGATGTGTAGTATTAGATCAACTGTTCTGGTAAATTCAAAATATTGATTTAATGGCTTAAATATTGGTTTAATGGCTTACATCAATGAAGTCTGTACAAAACATACATTCCAGAGCGGTGTCATCTACACAGTTTTGCTTTTCCTTCTAGGACTCCAGTCCAATTGAATCTGCAGATTCTGAGAGCATTGACTTTGAATGGGGGAGTTGAGGAGGCGATTCATGAAATGTCTTTCATTTTGAGGCACAGTTGCAACAACTAAGTCTAGAGGAGAAAGATGAAGTCCTATAGAACCTATTCTGTTTGGATGAAGGCATCTTACATTTGGCTTGGCAGAAGTGAAATGATGTTTTGGCTCTGGGTGAATGCCAAGACCCTGGAACTGATAACCCGGAGTATAATTAATGTGCCTACAGACAGTACACCATTTGGCAACATGGACATTGCAGGAAATCGATGTGCGATCCCCTCGTGTTGTGTAAGGAAGAGAAAAATAAGTCTATTTTGGTTATAAAAAAAACCCCTTTCGCATAACGTTTGGCGAAAAAAAATGTATATATGACATAATATAAATACATTTGCTTTGTCCATCTTTGAGCCTGTTTAGAAACCAGATATTGAGTCCTAGAAAAAGGAAAAATATATACATTTATATCATTGAGACTTGTATTCATTTGATTATCATCACTTCATGAAAATATAGTAATTCACAATCTTTTCTTATCCTGTTGTTAATGCGCTGCAAGTATCCCAGAGGTGTAGCAGTAATTTGAAAAAATAATACAGAGGTCAACAGGTAATGCTAATTCCGTGCGAATAGACCTTTAGGTTCAGCTGTTTCTGGTGTGTAATCCGATGCGTTAAGCCAGCAATGACAACTGTCTGATTTTTTTATGAAAAGACAATACAATTGTGTTTACATTGATAAGTATCCTTCTCCACATTAACCTCCTCCAATTCCATCTCAGGGATGAAAGTGGAGAGAAGTCCTCCTTCACAATGTGAAAGTTCTCCACCTCAAAAGGGAGACATAGCACTCTTTTGAGGTGGAGAATTTTAAAATGTTCATGTGGACAGAGTAAGGCTGGCCACTGGTGTTTATTTGATCTTTAAAGTGATAGTCTGTAACTCTAAATGAATTACAAATTTTAGGATATGTGTTAAATTGACCTCCTGGCCTTAAATGTTGATATAAAATAAGTCATTTTATTAATTCTAATATTACAGGCAAGTCCCGCCTTCACTTCTCATAGCTATAGCTCAGAATCCACGATGCCGTCCACGTTAACCAATTGAGTCATGCCAAGGGCTGTCAATCATCGGCGCTGATGCTTGTAGCTGCGCGCATGCTCAGTTGTTTGTTTTCGCATAACCTTCGAATCAAGCCTCTATTTGGGTCTGGAACTACATGAAAACTGAACAAAGAATTCTGAACATCTGCGCTGAGGTACTCGTGTATATACTGAACCTATATCCATAATCATTTATATACACCGAACCTATATCCATAATCAGATCCTCTGCAGATGTGTCCTATAATGTGCAATTCATGATAATAGCTTTTTCCGGGTTTGCCGCAATCGCTTTTTTTGTGCATAAAAACATTTTTTTCATTAAAACGTTAACAAATAATTCTGAAAACCTCCGTGCATGTGTATTAATAATGTATATGTATAATGTGTTCTCTGATTAACATTTAAAAGTGTTACGGAAACGTAGGCGTAGACCAATCAGAAAGGAAGGGGGAGGGAGCTTGCGCCGTTTTTTTCAAATCAAGTAAATCTCTCTCTCTCTTTCTGACAAACTCCAGACAATCACTTTAAGAGGGAGCCCTGGAAGTCAGGCATTGGACTGAGAGCTTATTGGCTTGATGATGAAAGTCCTCTGTTTTTCACTTTTCTGTGGGGAAAAAAGACTATTCTAAAATTGCACCAAAGATGATGAGCTCACAACTACTGATCCTGTGATCGTAGCAATGTCAAACATGTTTGATAATTGTAGTGAGTTGTTAGCCTGGCCTTATCCATCCGTACACTCTGTTCAATCATCATTTCACTGCATGTAACGTCTGGGTCTGGTCCCTGTGTTAGCGATTACAATCTGTTGAATTTCGACCGACCATTCAGAGAGCGCAGAAGTTAGTTGTGGGTCATGTCAAGAGTTTGCGCCGAACAGGCAGGTTGTAGTTTGGCAATGGCGAAGAATGCGATAGTATAGTAATCCAGTCTGGTTCTATCAAGAAATTTAAGCTGGAGCAAGAGGAATGTTTAGCAAAAAATTGTGGTGCTACTCCCCACGGGCTCAGTTAGCGGCAAAGGAGATGGCTAGGCTAAATGCTAACAACAGACTCGGCCGCACTACATACGTCACGGTGAACTCAGATCCAATCGTTTCAATCTGCAAAAGGAGTTCACCCCTCCCATCTGTTAACAAAGCCCAATGGAGCACCTCCAGACCTTAGTACGAAATGTCATTTGTACTATGGTGTGGTACGACCAGGCTAATGAGTTGTAGGCTCCGAACGCAGCTACAACGCTGTCAAAGCCCTGCTTACACTGTGAAATACAGCAACAGAGGACCGTAAACACAACGTTTAGGGACTGATACATCTTCAAAACTAAGCACCATGGTGTACACACTCCTCAGCCTTGCTCCTCTTCTGGCTTATACAAAGAAGTCAATGGCCTCCCGTCTGTCTCGTACAGTGTGAGTAGCTGAACACGTGCCTATATCGCTTTGTGCAGTGTACCCACTTATATTGACATTATGAGGACAATAACGCGCATTTAGAAATTGCAGTGTTTACCCAGTTTAAAACATATTTTTTCTACATCACATCAAAAGTTACACATGATTCAATCGTACTGTACTAGATAACAGAAGTCAGGTTTTGGTGGGCAGTACCTGGATAGTTGCCTTCTTCCAGCGAGTTGTAACTGTTGGGCACAGGGGAGGCAGTTCCAGTGCTGGAAGAGGACGTGTCGCCGCCTGTCAATGGAACACATTGATAGTTTACTAAAGCAGCGGAGCTAAAGACAGGACCTGATTGAACAGAGCACATCCACTTATCTGAGGCCTTTGGATTAGACCCCACACACCTGCTCCCCTTTCATGCTGGACTTTCCACATAACACATTTTCACACATAATTTGTGAAAAATATCTATGATAAAAGTGGTGCACTTTGGATTTACATGTTGAATGGCTTTGTAGTGTACCTGCAGGTTTGAAATACAAAAATTTACAAAAATTCCAAAGGTTTAAACAGTTACAATCACAGAAATAGAGCATTCATTTACTATATCAAAGTAAGGATAGGACAAGCAGCTTATCAGGTGTTGCGTGTTTTTAAACAAACAGTAGTTCTATTTCATCCTTCCTGACCGCCAGAGGCGATGCTTAAGCACTGGATAATCATCCTCGCATATGCATAGGTCGAGAGTCAAATAACAACAAAGTCATCCCTGACCTCTGGTAGTTCAAGCGAGTCTACCAGACTATGGAAGCACAGTCCCTTTTCACTTTCTTGCATGCAGGTTGTATGTGTCTGGCTAGCAAACTACACGCTGGTTGTGCTACTATTCTTTTATTTCGCTGCTTGTTGCCTGTAGCCCCGAGACTGCCTGTCAGTCAGTGCTGCGAGTTCCTTGCCCTCCGGGGGCTGCACAAGCTGCAATTACATTTGTGGTCCTACAACTGGTGAGTGTTTATCTTTCATAATATTCGTTGGTAGTTTTCTGTCATTGTTGCCGCTTCAGCTTGATGTTGACTGTGTTTACTGTGTTAGCATTTGCTACATTAGCATCAGCATCAGCGTTGATTGTCTTTATTTACAGTCAGTGTTTTGTTGATACCTTATACCGCTTTGTGTAGTTGTGCAGGTGTTTTGCGCCTTTTTAGAGGGTTGCTAGAGGCGTCTCTGCTTGACACTGCCCTGCTACGTCACCCGTGGCGCAAACTGACCTGTGCCTGAGCTGCAATGCTTTTGATGGGTTGTTAGTGGCGTCTCTGCTCGCCACGACCTGCTTTGTTTGTGTTCAATAGCTGGTGGTGCTTTGGTGGGTTACTGGTGAAGTCTCGGCTCGACCTAACCCTGTTGTATTGGACGCTTACCTGTTCGTATTTATTGTGCGTTTCTGTGGGTTACTAAGGCCATCTCTGCTCGACCTACCCCTATCGGGAGTACCTCGGTTCTTGGCAGCGACTTGCCCCTGCATATTTGCTTGCTGTGATGCTGGAACCGTTGAGTGGCCAAACCTGTTTGGCACTGATGGAGCAGGACAATTGCCATGTGCAATGTCACTCCTGTCTCGGAGTGGCCCAACTGCAGGATGAGTGATGGCTGACTGACCATGCGTGTCTTTACTGTGCGGTTATGCCTTGGCTTGTTTGTGTGGCCCCCCTGTCAGCCTTGGATGAGACGTCTAGTGGCGATTCTGGGGGCCGTGGATCGGCTCTGTTGGTTGACCGGCCCACTAGTTGCAAGCGCGAGGGTGCCCAGGGTGACGACCCTCCTCGAAAGAGGTCAAAGACCTTGGTACGTGCGGTTCTGACTTCTAAAGTTGACTCTCCTTCAGGCAGGTACTGGCTTAGACCCTTTGTACACAATGATGATGGCATCTCTGTGGCTGCCTCAGGCACGCATTTTCTGCCTGGTTCTGATCTCCTGAGCTCCAGGGTTTGGAGTATGGTTCAATGGGCTCTGTCAGAGTCCTAAGTTGGTTTCAGATGAGCCTGTGACTGTGGGGATCTGCACAGCCCTGGCACATTTGATGCTGGATGTACCACAACATTTTGTGGGACCCTCTAGTGCAAGGGTCTCAAACTCAATTTAACTGGGGGCCAATGGTTGCAGAGTCTGGGTGAGACTGGGCCGCAATAGATTTCTTAAAAAAAAAAAAAAAAAATTCAATCTTTATTTTCAACACAAAATAAAATAATTCTCAATTTTTTTTAATTTATAAGTATATAAATCAGTCAGTCATGAGTAATAATCATAATTACATTTCTCCAGTCAGCAACAATGTATACACATACTTACTATGTGAGAAGTAACAATGAATCAATCTGTGACCCTGAACATGGCTTTTCTTGCCTACTTCTTCCTGCTCGACACCTGGCAGCACTTCCTCTTGCTTTGCTGAGCTACATTTGGCTGGAGAGAGGAAGCAGTTGAGACTCTCAGTATGGCTTGAAGATGATCATCAGTAAGTCTGGACCTGTGCTTGGACTTGAAGTTCAAGGTGGAGAAGAGCTTTTCGCACAAGTGAGTGCTCCCAAAAAGGTACAGGGTCCGCTTGTACATTCGGGAAAGCTCAGGGAAGCTGGATGGCAATTCTCTCTAAAATTATCCAAGTTTGTCTGCTTTTCCACTCACTCCCTGAACTTGGCTTTGAGGTCAGAGTTGCACTACAGGTCAATGAGCTCCATTTGAAGCACAGTAGGGGCATCTTGCACATCAATGGAGAAGGTATCTGCAAAAAATCGAAATATGGCTCTCTAGGTCTTGAAGTCTGCAAAAATTTGATCATATTCCTCCCCTAGCTTCCCTATGGCGCCAACTTACACTCACTGGCCACTTTATTAGGTACACCCTGCTAGTACCGGGTTGGACCCCCTTTTTGCCTTCAAAACGGTCTTAATCTTTTGTGGCATAGATTCAACAAGGTACTGGACTATTTGATAGTAACATACGGTTTTTGCAGATTTGTCAGCTACAAATCCATGATGCAAATCTCCTGTTCCACCACATCCCAAAGTTGCTCCATTGGATTGAGATCTGGTGACTGTGGAGGCCATTACAGTACAGTGAACTTATTGTCATGTTCAAGAAACCAGTCTGTACATGTAATGCTTTGAGCTTTATGACAAGGTGTTTTATCCTGCTGAAAGTAGCCATCAGAAGATGGGTACACTGTGGTCTTAAAGGGATGGACATGGTCAGCAACAATACTCAGGTGGGCTGTGGCATGGCAACGATGCTCAATTTGTACTAAGGGACTCAGAGTGCCAATAAAATATCCCCCACACTATTACACCCCCACCACAAGCCTGAACCGTTGATACAAGGCAGGATGGATCCATGCTTTCATGTTGACTCCATATTCTGGCCCTACCATCCAAATGTCGCAGCAGAAATCGAGACTCATCAGACCAGGCAACTTTTTCCAATATTCTATCGTCCAATTTTGGTGAGCCTATGCAAATTGTAGCCTCAGTTTCCAGTTTTTAGCTGACAGGAGTGGCAGCCTCAAGGTTCGATGTGTTCTGTGTTCAGAGAGGCTCTCTTGCATACCTTGGTTGTAACAAGTGGTTATTTGAGTTACTGTTGCCTTTCAGCTCGAAACAGTCAGGCCATTCACCTCTGACCTCTGGCATCCACAAGGCGCGAAAATGCCGAACTGCCGCTCACTGGATATTTTCTCTTTTTTTCGGACCATTTTCTGTAAACCCTAGAGATGGTTGTGTGTGAAAATCTCAGTAGATCAGGAGTTTCTGAAATACTCAGACAAGCCCGTCTGGCACCAACAGCCATGCCACGTTCAAAGTCACTTAAATCACCTTTCTTCCCCATTCTGATACAACAAGATGGCGCCTCGTACGGTCAACATGGCTCTTTGCTGCTCTCTTTTTCTTTTGTTTTTACTTTTTAACTGTGCATCTGGCTGTTCCTACACCCGTGAGGAACTTATGAACATCCGACCCACCGTTCCCATGGACCTATTGCCTGTTTTCTTGGCATCTGCGGCTGATTTAGTTCATGTTCTAGCCAAAAAAGTGTGGGCCCGTAAAAGGGGAAAGCGCGGAGGCCTGCTCGTGCGTCTTAGGAAGAGAGGAGCGCGCACGGCTCTCCCCGGCATTTTTCTCTCCAACGTACGCTCACTGGGCAATAAGATGGACGAACTCAGCCTGCTCATGAGAAGAAACAAGGACTTCGCCACATCCTGTGTCCTCTGCTTCACTGAGACCTGGCTAAATGAGCGGATCCCGGACTGCGCTCTGGAACTGCAGGGCTTTGGGCTGTTCCGCGCGGATCGCCATTGTGCGCTCTCAGGGAAGAGCAGAGGCGGTGGGCTGTGTTTCTACGTCAATACAAACTGGTGTAACGATGTGACAGTGATCTCCAAGCACTGCTCTCCTGCTCTGGAGTATCTTTTCATTCATTGTAAACCATATTACTCCCCTCGTGAAATTGTTTCATTCATTCTTGCCTCTGTTTACATACCGCCATGCGCGGCCGCGCGCGAGGCTCAGCGCGCACTCGCAGAGCAAGTACTGTGTATGGAACGTTTATACCCGGACTCTCTGATTATTATCCTGGGGGATTTTAACAAGGGAAACTTGAGCCAAGAATTACCCAAATACAGACAGTCTATCAAATGCCCGACCAGAGAGGAGAACACTCTGGATCACTGTTACACCACCGTACGCAGAGCTTTTTGCGCTGTTCCCAAGCCAGCCCTCGGCTTCTCAGATCACTCCATGATACATCTGGTTCCTGCTTACAGACAGAGACTAAAGCTCTCGAAACCTGCAGTGAGGAGCTCCAAAGTGTGGTCTGATGAAGCTGTGGAAGAGCTGCGCGCATGCATGGAATCTACAGACTGGGACCTTTTCAGAGCTGCCACAGACAGCTTGGATGAATATACGGACACTGTGACGTCATACATTCACTTCTGCGAGGATAGCATCATTCCAACAAGGACCAGGGTCATCTATAACAACGACAAACCCTGGTTCACTGCTAAACTCCGGCAGCTCAGGAAAGCAAAGGAGTCTGCTTTCAGGGAGGGGGACCGCAGCGGCTACAAAGCAGCTAAATATCAGTTCAGGAAAGAACTGAAAGCAGCCAAGTCCCGGCACAGAGAACGACTACAGGAGCAGTTTGGTAACAACGATACTGCTTCTGTCTGGAGGGGCCTACGGGAGATCACCAACTACAAACCCAAAGCCCCCCCCCCCTGTGCTGACGACCACAAGCTAGCTGAC